AAAAACCATTGTGGTTTTTAATTATTGCTTCCCAAGCAGCGACCCCTTCCCTCCTCCTCCTCCTCCTCCTCCTCCTCCTCCCGCTGCTCCTTCCTCCCCCTCCCGAGCCAGGCTGGGCACGGGGAAGCTCCGGGGCTGAACCGGTTGCGGCGCCGCCGCTTCTCACCCTTAATTTTATTTTTAATTCCTATTAAAAATGGTTTGGGCCATCGGAAGTGGGGTTTGAGGGACGTGCTTTGCTTCTGCCGTTTCGAGAAAGATGGGAGAGGAGGAGAAGAAGGGCGGGGGGAGAGCGGGGATGTGGGGGGAAAGAAAATTGGGGAATAATTGAAAGAGCCTTCAGCCAGGCTTTTCCCCAAAGCCCGAGGCTCCTTGGAGCAGGTTGGATATTTCCCAAGCAGCTTTCTTAATGAAGAAAAAGGCGGTGAAATCCTACTTTTGCTTTGTTTTCCTTTTTTTTAATATATATATATATATATATTTTCCCCCCCTTTCCCAGCAGCGAAGCAGCTTCGACTTCCCCGCCTCTGCGAAAACAGCTTTTTTTAATTATCCACTTTCATTCCCCAACTGTCTTAAGTTCCTGGGCTAAAATGGCATGTGTGGTGTGTGCAGGGAGAGAGAGAGAGAGAGAGAGAGGGAGAGAGGGGGAAAAAAAATACCCTCGTGGAGGAGAAAAAAAGAAAAAAAAAAAAGAGGTCGGATTTGGGAAAGGGCAGCAACTTTCAGACGGTGAATTGCAAAGGAGCGATGGTGCGGTGGGTTTTCCTCCCGTCTGTCTGTCTGTCTGTCTGGTCTGCTCCCTCTTTCTCTTCGGGAATTATCTACAAAGGAGAAAACAAAACAAAACAAAACAAAAAAAAATCCCAACCCTCCGACCTGGGACTGGCTGATATCGGGCAAATAAATTCCTTCCCCACACCGAAACTTTCGGGATTCGCTGTTGGTTTATTTGAATTTTTTTTTTCCCCCATTTATTTTTCCAGCAGTGATTTCCCCAGCAAAGTTACTTTTCCTCTCCAGTTTCCCCGGCGAAATTCGCTGCGATGGCAGCTCGAGTTGTTGTGGTGGTTGTTGCTGTTTCCTTTTCAGTTTTTTTACATCTCCGAGCGAGGTTTGATGCCTCGAATAGGTCGGGAATTCGTGGTTATCGTGCCCTCCCCCTCAACTTTATTTTCTTTATTATTTCCGAGTCGAGCCCTAATTAAGACCGATGGGTTTTTTCCATCCTTTTCCACCGGCGCTTTGCAGCGGTTGGGGGGTGAACTCGGGTTTTAGGCGAATAAATAAATAAAATGCGAGATGGTCGGGAATTTCAAGATCATTACGGTTAGAAAGACGCGGGTTCAGAGTCACTTTCAAGGGAAACAAAAAGAAAACGCCACCTTTCCTTTTAAAAAAAGAACCAACAGGCAAGGAGGGAGAATAAGAAGAAAAAAAAAAATAAGGGAGAAAAGTAAAAGAAAGGACAAAGAAAAAAAAAAGGGAAAATAAAATCGAGGGGAGGGGGAGAAAGAAGGAGAAGGAAAAAAAAAAAAAGAAAGGGCACAAAATCGCTGGAGGGGAAAAAAAAAAGTACATTGGGACGGAGAAAGTGGAACTTGACCGTTTGGGGTGATTTGTAACGGTTTAGAGCAAAGTCCTACTTAAATATTCTCACGTCCGCAAACCTGTTTTCCCAAAGATTTTCCAAAGCGGGGCTGTAAAAATTCCCCTCGCCTTAACTTTCCAGGGGCTTTGCGGGTCTTTCCCCTCCGCCCCGAGCGGGACGAATTCCTGGATCTTAGGCCGAAAAAAAAAAAAAATAATAAAAAAAAAAAAACTAAAAGTGGGTATTTCCTAATTCTTGTGTCCCCCCGGCCCGGGGGGGAAAAGCCTTTTCGAAGGCTTCAGACGCCATTTGGTTCCCCCTTGGAAAAGCTATTTGCCACTTTATTGCCTCTATTTGTGTTATCTGCATAGGTCTTTTTTTTTTTTTTTTTTTTAAAAACAGTTTGATCGAAATCGTTCGCTTTTATGATATCCAGTGAAAATTCCCCTGTAATATTTATAAGCAAAGGATAAAACTTTAGTGCGGGGGAGCCAATATTTTCTCATTTATGGGTGATGAAATTAAAGACCAAGGCGATTTTTTTTTTTTTTTTAAGTGTGTCACGGTTTTTATCCCCTTCACACCCCAAGTTTGATGATTTTTTTTTTTTTAAATCCCCCCCTTATTTTCTACTTTATTTTCCCAGATGATGTGGAGGCCCAGTAATTCACGTCGAACAGTTACACGCGTGCATTTTTTGGGGGGGACACCAAAATTCGACCTCACGGTTTCCTGTGTTGTCTCCCTCCGGATTAACCAGGTTTTCCCGATTTTTTTTTTCCCCCCACCACCCTCTCCTTCTGGTGTTTCTCTCACACAGAAGGATTTTTTTTGTCCCATCAAACGTGACGTTCAAACAACCTGAATTTGCTTCTTCCAAAGAGAACCACGAGAGCATCTCGAGCGAAACTCCCCATCCAGGTCGGTGGAGAGAGAGAGGGGAGGGGGTGGGAAAACCTGGAAACCTCATTTTTTTTATGAAAGTGTAAACGTTCGCGAGTGGAAAATAAAGATTTACACCGTTCGCGGGCGTTTTGTCGAGCAGGTTTGGCCAGGCACGGGTGTTTGAAGGGTTTCGAGCCTCTTTTTAGCCTCTTGCTCATCGGCATCTTGGCCGCCGAAGGGATGAGTAAATATAAAATCAGATTTTTCAGGAAATAACCAAGTGAGGATATCGCCGGAAACTTCACCGTGAGACGTTTTTGGCCCACAGGACAGGAAAAAAAAAAAAAAAAAAAAAAAAAAAAAAAAAAAAAAAAAAAAAAAAAAAAAAAAAAAAAAAAAAAAAAAAAAAAAAAAAAAAAAGGGGGGAAAGTTGACGTTAGGAAGCAGCACAGGAGAGCGAATATTGTTTAAAGTTAAAAATAATTAGAAGTATGATAAACACGGGTCATTAATGGGGAGAGGAATAAAATTCATCAGCCTAAGTGGAACCCCCGTTGGGAAAAACGCTTTCGTCTTAATTGCGGAAAATAAATACGAACAAAAACGCTCTTAAAAACTTAAAAGGAGGGGATCCCCCGCCCGTGGGAAGGACTTTAATAACCCACTTGGAATTTTTCGCGCTTGGAGGGAGATCCCTGTCCCTCCCAACCCACGCGGTTCAGGGGGGAATCTGCTCCCCACGCGCGGCTCCAACCTGGGCCTTGTTGGGTCGGTTTTTTGTCCGATGAACTCGGAGCCAAAAAAACCCCCAACTTTGGGGGGTTTGGAGGGGTTTCCCTTCCTTGTTCTCCCCCCACCCCCGGACCGGGGGATGTGGGGGGAGTTGTCCCCTCATCCTGTCGATTGCCCCCCAAAAAAACCTGCCCAAAAACCAGCGCTGGGAAGTCTTGGATGGGGATGGAGAGGTTTGGGGGGAAAGAGAAGAGATGCCAACTCACCCCCCCCTCTTCCCCTCCTCCTACCCATCACCCCGAGGAGTATATAAATGTCTACAGTTTCCAAGACAAAGCATCTCTCGGACTTCCCCGGAATATTTTACCTGTCCCCTCTTTTCAATCTAATTATTTAACCGTGAGTTATGTGGAGAGAGCGCTTCTCCTACCCGTTGTATTTTTTTTTTAACCAAGTTTTTTTGGGTTTTTTTTTTTTTTACAACAAACATTCATTTTTTTTCCCTGCGAGGAAGTGTTTGGTAGCGAGGCTTTAATGATTACCTTAAATTTGTATTTCTGCCCCGTGCTGTAGCGGAAATAATTCTGATTTACGATGAAGTACACTGGAGTACAATAACAGCGATGCAAAAATAAAACCCACGCCTTTATATGTTGGCTTAGAAACTGTAAACTATCACCACAAGAAATCTATCAAACTTTACAATCCCTCTTACCCCGCTTCCTTCTTTCGGAGTAACTTAAGTCAAAAGAATTATGGAACGATATTATGTTCCTCGAGGTGGTGTTGAAAAAAAAAAAAACGGTGTCCGAGTTTTTCTACCCCCAACATCGCATCCAAGTCCTGGATAGAGTTTGGAGCCCTTTTTAAAATTTATTTATTTATTTATTTATTTTTAATTTTATGTTCCTTTCCCCCTTTGGGAGAATTTGGGA